CCTGGGCAGGTCCTGCCGCCTGACCTTGATTCCAGAATCCAGTTCCATCCTCCTGCCTTGCAGGGAGGAGTCCCACCCGCCCTCCTGGAGGAGACCCTGATGGGTCTGCCTTCCAGGATGAAGACCACGGGTCTGTCTCTATCGGGCAGCACTTGGGGAGTGTGCAGGGGAATTTGGACCATGGGAAATTGGGGCCAAAGCCTGGGTCAGATGGGACTTCACCTGAGAGCTCCTGACAGGTGGGAAGGCCGGAACCACGAGAAACAGTGGAGGGCACTGGGTGTTTGACCCGAAAGCAGAAGACTCAGGGGCCTCACATACCCACAGACTTCCTGTGGGGGTGGACAGACAACGGCTCCGCCCCCTGAGACAGCAAGCAGGCCAAGAGGCAGAGGTCTCAAGGACAGAAGCCCGTTCAACACGGAAGAGCTCCTGGCCTTGGCCTGTGGCCTCGCCTGCCACGGAGAGTCCTGTGACGCAGGGCCCGGGCCAGGAGTGTGGGCTGTGTTCCCTGGGCTGGGCTGCACTGCCCGTGAACTGCCGCACCTGTCTTATACATGTGGCTTCACTTCTCCAGGCTTGTCCCTCAAAAGGAAGAGATTAGTAAATGTCCAAAAAATCCTGAAGTCACCAGCAGATCTCCATCTGCTTTCCCAACAGTCACCAGCGGGAAGCCCAGGCAGGGGCTGGGGAAGCCTGGCTGATTCAGTGGGTGGGCAGGGCTTCGATGGAGTTGCGGTGCCCAGCCTCTAGGAACAGAGCTGCCGAGGCCAGGCCTGCCCTCAGGGTTCCGCATTCAGGAGTCCCAGTCGGACAGAGAACTTGCATGCCCCAGCCCCCAGGTGAGGTTGGTGCTGCTCCTTCCACCACACGTGGGGCCCCCGTTTCCCAGGCCGTGGGAGAGGATGGTCTACAGAGCGGAAGGTGTTCCTGAGCGTCCAGCCTGGGGAACAGCAGCTGAGATGGGAAGGGCGACTATGACAGGTCTCCAGCCAGCCAGGGCCTGAGGCCACTGCGTCCCTCACTTCTGACCAGCCCCTCATCCCAGAGATGGCTGTTGCCTCTTTTCTCGGCCATGCGCCCTCTCTGTTCCCTGTTTCCTCTGCCTGTGTCTCCCCACTGGTTCTGCCTCTTTCTCCTGCCTGTTTAATCCAGACATCTCCTTGGACTTGGTGTTGTGGTGCCTTTTCTCCAGAGGAGGCACCCAGGGCTCCAAGGGGTGCAGTGGCTTCCCAGTTCACCCGGCGAAGAGGCAGAGCTGAGATTAGAGGCCAGGTCTCTCTGACTTCAGACTAGATTAGAGGCCAGGTCTCTCTGACTTCAGACTCTGGGCTTTTTTGATGTGACTCAGACATTTTCCAGTTCCTGGGAATGCCAGGGGAGGGGTGGATGTGGGGCTCAGACAGATGGACTCACACTTGGAGGGAGGATGGTCTTCCACAGGGGCCCAGAGAACCTTCTGGGCTTTCTTCACACTTCCTGGATTGGAACTGGAAAAAAAGCAAAAAACAAAACCAAACAAAACCAAAACAACAAAACCGCACACGCACACAGCCACTCAGGGGCTGCCTGCCACGTGATTCCTGATTCACACAGACACAAAGGCATAAACCCCACCCGACCAAGTCGCACAGTCCACAATCGCCCTCCAGGGATGGAAAGTCTCCCTTTGCGTCTCTGCCCAGACCTTCATAAATGTATTAACAATGCACCACTTTTTCAAAGGAAATAAAGGGCATGTTTTGCTAAAAGCAGAAGTGCGTTTGGTGAGCCCCTCCTGGGGCCTGGCCAGACTTGTTCTGGGAAAGAATAAGGAGTCAGACATGGCCCCTGGGGAGGGGACTCAGGGGCCACAGAGGAGTGATGCCCTGGAGCCAGGATGGCAGTGTGCACAATGGTCGGGGCTCTGAGGACACTTAGTGCCTTCAGAGGGTTCCGGGAAGGCAGCCTGGAGGAGGTGGCTCTGCTCTGGGTCATGGCTGAGGAGGATGTGAGTGGTCAGGGAAGGAAGGTGGGAAGGGCCTCCGGACAGCAGGACCCATAAAAGCTAAGGTGCAGGGTCATGCAACTGGGCAGGGGCAGTGACTAGTGCTCTGCAGGTCACTCTGTAGGGCTCCTTGGCCATCCTGAGGTACCCACCAGGCAAAGCAGTGGCCTGAGCTGGTGGCAAAGCTTGATGGGTTGGGGCAGAGAAATGTCCCTTGCCTCTGCTCTGAGTTGCATATAAGCAGGATCTCCCTACTCGGGGACAGGTGTTCTCAGGGGTCTGGTGACTGTGGCAGGAGTGGGCGCTATGCTGAGGACCCGGGCAGGGGCAGCCACTTTCGGGGCACACCTCACCCGCTAGGGGCCCTCCGAGTAAGGGCAGGCGGTGTCCTTGGGTTTTCTCTAAGGCACGTGAGACACTGGAGAACGTTCCCACGCTGCCAGAGGCAGAGCCAACCGATGACACCTCACAGGAGGGACTAAGGCCAGGGACATGAGGACCCAGAGCCTGGGGACTGGAGAGCCAGGCATCCCTCATCTTGGGGGCCAGGGTGCTGTGGAGTGGCTGAGTGACAGAGCTCTGGGCGGGGGTGGCCTGGGAAGGACTGAAGGCTTCTGAGGTGAGACCTGGAGAGGGCCCCGGATGAGCAACCCCTCGGCCCACTGAGGGCCTCAGAGGGAGCCAGCCAGGCCAGCCAGGCCAGATGGGTGCTGTCGGGGTCAGAACCACTCTCTTGTTTTTGTTTTTTTTTAATTTTACTTTTTAGTTTTTTAGTTGTAGTGGACACAATACCTTTGTTTTATTTATCTATTTTTATGTGGTGCTGAGGATCAAACCAAGTGCCTCACACGTGCTAGGCGAGCGCTCCACCACTGAGCCAGAGCCCCACACCTGGACCAATTTCTTCTCTGCATGGTTGTCTTTCTATATCCACAGAGAATTGGTTCCAGGGCGCCCCCGTTGGATACCAAAATCTGCAAGTGTCCACCCCTTGTATAAAATGTATAAATGTATAAAATGGTGTGATATTTTCCCCTCACCTATGAGAGCCCTCCCGTGTGCTTTAGATCACCTCTCGATTCCTCATGATCCCTGCTGCGAGCTAAGTGCTGTGTAAGTAGCCGTCGGGCTGTACGGCTCAAGGAATAAGAACCAGGAGGTCCTTGCTCCGTCCAGATGCAATGTGAAGAGCACATGTTTTTGATCTGCAGTTGGTTGATTCCACATGGTCCGGGAGGCAGGG